GGACCGGACAACGACTCGTCGCTGGAATATTGGGTCTTACAAGGCTCCGTATCCATGAGATATCCAAATTTATATTGGTATTTCCATCCCCTGTATCATATATGTGTCAAATAGATAAGATCACACAAAGGGGGTAGCGGAATGCAGAAAAGCGATATAGGGCTGGTTTTCTTTAACGGCCCCATCACAAGTGAAAGCACAATGATAATGAAAACAAAGACTGACGGGGACAATGTTCGAGGCAGAATGACGTAATACATATTCGAAACGGGGGAGATAGGCGCCCACAATGCTTTCCAGGAAAGCCCAACGAAGGGACAAGTGTTGGTCGCCCAACACAAGTCAAGTTGCGACCGACGGTCGTTCAAAGAAGAAATAAATAAACGTTGTTTTTGTGCCTGACGGTCCCTTAAAAGAGAACAACATCGAGACCCACTACAACTACACACGGACGCTTCGGGGGGTATAGAGCATCAGAGTTTGTTTCAACAAATCACGGAAGCTATTACACGCCACAATGGACTCACTCGTGGCATGTCTTCTTCTGTAATCGAAACATGAAATCCTTATCGGCCACACCATGGAGCCGTATTGAGGCTTCCTACTGGGTTCGGCGGAGTGATCCGACGGCGCAACACAAACCCCCAGTCCCTGACGCACGCAATGTGCCTGCCATTATTCAACCTAGCAGGGAGAGACGAGATCGAGCACAGGAGTAGGGTGACAACACAAGCGTGACAGGCAGAGAGATCGTGTTCGCACAGGAAAGAGACATGATAAGTCGAGCAGAACATTTGAGGCGTTTGATTGTCGAGTTCCAACAGGAAACTGCAGAGTCAGGATCGGTGACGCACGCTTGAAGGGATAGGATTAGGGATATTTGGTACTCAAAATCGGTCGTATTATCTGAGATGACGGGAACAGTTTCCTAGGATCGCCGAAATTCAGTTGGGACTCTAGGAATTGGGCAAAGGGACCCGTACATCTTTACATAAAGGATGTACATCCGCGACACCTCTCAGTAGTACTTAGCAACAAGGTATGATACAGTTTTGAAGTGAACCTATCCACGAAGAACGAGATTGAGTCAGGATGATGGATGTCAACTCAAGCGTGACAGCGACCGTGATTGCGCAGCAGGATAATCGGATGAGCCGAGCAGAACACTTGAGGCGTTTGATGGTCGAGTTTCAGCAAGAACTTGTAGAATCAAGAACAGTGGCGCATTACTGAATCGGTATTACATCGTTCCTCGTTGCCGCAGTCTGAGCAAGCGATGATCGACCGTTTAGCGCATGTTCAAGATGTTTTCTTCGTCTGAGATGCGTGGCGTGTTATGGGAGAAGAGACAAAAGGTGCTAGAAAGCCGGAAGTGCTCCGGGAATGTCATGGAAAGAAGGACAAGCCCTACATCATCGTTTGAAGAGTATTGTCCTGTAGACCATTCATCAGCAAGTCAAAACCACCCATTCAACACAAGAGAAAGAAGCGAAAAACTTTCAAAAAAAAAGAATACCGGTGTGAACCGAATGGCGTTTGGTCTCGGTCGCGAACGGTCTAATGATCCAAGGCACGTTCTTTAGGCTTTCGCGTTCAAACTCGTGTCATGGCCGAACTGGAGTCATGATATCGATTTATACAGTGTCGGGCTGAAAATGAGATGGACTACTAGTCGTCATCTTTCGGGCTCCCGCGGATCAACTTGGGATTAACGTGTATGGAAGTGGGATCTATAAAATATGAATGAATCCTCTTATAAGTCTTGAAGCCAGGCGTGATAGAGCGTTGTAGTAGCTTACTGTCTATAAGTATTTGCATGCCATCTAGCGTTCGTCGAAGTCAAATTTCCACCAGTGGGGAGAGGCAAGTTGGCTTTGAAAATGACGTCAACAACAACACGTGTAAGGTTGATCATAACCCCGTCATCGATGTTCTAGGCGTTCTGGATGATGCCTCTCCAGTTCCTCGTCGTCAACGCTCTAGACGCCCTCAGAGATACACAGTTAAATACATCTCCACATGACATGGCAAATTTTGAAAGCTCGGGCTGCTTTCTTGGGTGTTGTCGTTCGTTCAGCATGGGGTCGTATGGTGCAAGGAGGGAAAAGAAATGTAGGAAAGTCCTAAGCAAGTATGGCAAAAGCTTGGGAGCTCGCTCGCTTCTTTCTCTGGTGTCTTCGTTCGTCCGTTCCCATCACAGGAGGAAGAGGACGAGACACGAGCGCGGCAAGCATGCGGGGGTGCTGGGATCATGTGTAAGGTGTCGAGGGTTGCCAAAGTGCGACGCCTGGTGTCGCGACAGAGCATCGACGAGTGGATGAAGACCGCCGGATCTGGTCTGTCCCAGCCACAAACGCAGGTTCACCACCTAAGCTCATGCAGGAGGTCCCTGAGACCGGGGGAGTCACCTCCGCTATTTTCTGGTTCATCTGAGCAGGGCTTCGGGGGCATGGCTAGCATTAGGATGTGGAAAGAAGATGGCATGTTGATCGTGACGTGGATGGGGGCCGAAGCACATGGGAACTTCTGGGAGCCACGGATTTTCGGGTCCGAAACAAAGCCCTGAAAAGTTGGCACTTGTCACCACCAGTTCCACCGCGGCGGAAGTGTCGTCGGCGTCCGCCAGCTGCCAGCTTAACTGCCGTCTCGACATCTACCTCGATTTCTGGCGAGTTTGATAGTGGGGCGCTACCAGTGGAAGCTGAAGCCGGGTCAACGCTCGTGGTGGAGGTTCGAAGAAGATTCGGACACTGCGATCGGTGCGTTTCTCAACACCGTATGATATGGGTTACATGTTTATACTTGGTACTAATACAGGGGTTAATATGGGAAACAGACGCGGAACCATGGAGGTAGAGGAGGTAGCTCGAGGCATGAGATCCGAGCCAACTACTTGCCCATCATTTGCCTTCCTTCCTCGATCTTCTTCTCGTTATGACCAAGTTTGCCGGAAATCACCTTCGCCTCGCCCTTTACCTTGTCCATGAATCCGACTTTGTGACGTTCACCACTGCTGAGGCTCGAGCGACCGTCGCTTCCAGAGGTCGAATGACGATCAGCGGTCTTGGGGTCTATTGCATCCGTGGGCGCAGCCTGAGGGGCCACATGCTGTTGGGCCGAAGGGTTTGCGGTTGGCGTCGTCGATTTGAACTTCTCGTCGAGAGGGTGGAGAGATGCTGGGTGATATCCAGGATCGTTTCGGATATCGAGGTGTTGGGTTCCTCCTCCACGTGCCGCATTGGCGCTCTGTGCGACGTTTGAATGGGACGATGAGCATGAGAATGAAGAAGCGTACCTGGTCAGACGAGCCATGTTGGTGAGCGGCGGCCGCGATACCAGCTGCGCCGACACCAGCGCCGACACCAGCACCGATGCCGGGACCTGCTCCGGTTCCAGGCCCATGCTCCGGAACATTCGTATCACCACCACCAGGCGAGAACTTCTGACCATCTCCTTCAGGCTATAGAAATGCATCAGACCGATCCGGTGACGAAAGTTCGCATTCCATACCTGATGCATATGGCTACCTGTACCTCCACTCATAGCACCCAGACCACCAGCTTCTGCACTAGCTTCCGCGCCTCCTACCGCTGCGACGCCAGTATCATCTAGATGCATGTTAAACGGAGTCTTTGTAGGCAAGGAGAAGGCGTACACTGAGGGTGGATGCGTTCTTCGGGGAGCAACGCAACACGGCTCTCGTAAGGTGGTCCAGGAAGAGGTCCGACGCCGCCAGATTTGCCCGGGACTGCGTCTTCGTGCGATGGCAACGACTCCAGACGCCTCTCTTCAGGAAGTTTCGCGACGCTGACCTCCGAGTAGTTACCCGGAAGCGAGCCAACCCCGCCCGCAGAACCTCCGGGCTTCTCTTTCGAGGGCAAGGGGCTTCCAGCTGGGACGCCTCCCGCTAGTTCGTAGATATCGATCAGGATATGGTGACGACCGAGGAGGCTGAGGACTTACGAAGATATGCTGCTACGGAATCGGGGAGATATCCCTTTGCGCTCTGGAGCATGGTCGGCGAAGTTGATGTGTTGCTTGCTGTACAATAGGTGAGCATATGTGTACCACCTAGAGCAACGTTTGACGAACCAAGTTTAGCAGCTGGATCAACTTTACGAGGAGGTATATCCTGAGAGGCCGGAGAAGCTCGCTGTTGATGAGCCTCGACTGATCTCTCTTCCGGCAGCTTTGCGACGCCCGCCTCGGAGAAATTGCCAGGCAGGGACCCGACGCCGGTCCCAGAGCCACCTGGAACCTCGTGCGATGGGAAATCCGACCGCTTTTCGATCGGACTGGCAGCTGAAACAAGGTAGGTCAGCAAAATCCCGAATGCGACGACGGAAAAGTCTCACGAAGATACGCTGCTACAGATCCCGGAAGATAAGGCTTCACAGTTTCGGAGGCGCTCTCGATGGCGGATCCTACTGAGGTCCTGATGCCGGGCGCCCTGGGCGTCGGTTCTTGAGTTTGCTCAGGAACGGATGCTTGGGATGAGGCAATCGGTGCCTCAGGAGAAATGGCTGGCGTTTGAGTAGAGGGGACTGATGTTTCCCCAGTGGGGGAAGGGCCCGTAGAAGGGACGTCTGTGCCGCGATAGATAGGTGCCAAGTCTTCTTTGATAGGTTCGTTGGTGCGAGTATTCGGTGGCAAAGCAGTCTGATTTCTGAATGGATTGTTCGAATTTTTGTCATAAGCGGACTTGTCTTTGTTCGCCCGCTCGCTCGAGGGCATGCGATGGATTGTAGTCATGATTTGAGTTACGGCTCCAGAATTTGAGACCACGTTTATATAGGTTTCCAGTGTCTCGGCATCGCGTAATGATACCATGACGTTATGTGAGGCTGTGCAACTCAGCGCCAATGGTGGCGCGAGTAACCCCATTGGCAATCGGGCCCCACTTCCTTCTCTCAGATGCAGGGGTGCCCGCGAGCCTTGCCTCGACAGCTCCACACAGGTTCCACGGGTAGCACAAGTAAGCTGCGCTGCTAACTAACACTGGTTAGTTGGCCGAGTGGTCTAAGGCGCCAGACTGGGGTGCTCTATTATTTGGCCTCTCCAGGGGCGGGAGTTCGAATCTCCCTCTCATTATCCCTTTGCGTCTGCATGAGGTTCGTATTTTGGTTACACATATAACAGTCTATAAATTTTGTGCCATGCACCACTCCAAAGACTCGCTGAAGGTAAGCCCCTACATGTTATGTTCGTGCGCCTTGTGCGCTGGCGTCTGTCGTAGCTAATCATACATCTCGTGGGGCCTAGATAATCGTGACCCTAGCTCTGTTTTGGAGATATAGAAGCTTGTATGGCTGCCGAACCTCGTTGTGAATACCAGGTAATGAAATGAACAGTGTTTACAATCCATATTTCACCGTCTAAACGCCGCAAGTTCTCTGCTCGACTCCTGGCATCGCCTCCCTGCGCAACAACGGTGGCCGTCATACGTAAGGTTGCATTCACATCTTCTCCTACATCTCGTGTTTCGATGACTCGGATAGGCTGACCGATCGCGGGAACACTATGCGCGTTAGGAATCGGAGATTTGCGTTGACCTGCCAAATCGCTCTGGTGAACTCGTATGTACCATTTCGAGCTCGCGTTTTCTCGCGCCCACAAGAGTTATTTTGCAAATAAAGAACCCATCTCTTGGTCAATCTCAACTGCCAGCTCTTGAACTCAGATAGGGGCTCTCTCGAGGTCCCACACAAACTTTCAACTTTTATTGTCTTCTCCGCTATGCCTCAGGAAATTATATTACAAATCTACCTTCTGTAGACCGTAAGCACCTATGTGCGCTCGTAATTTTGTCGTCCTGTACCGTCAGAGGTCTGGGATCACTAGTAGAGCCACTTGATTCAAAGACAGACTTGGGCCCGCGTCGACTCCTTACCTATCCACCAGCAGTTGATGAATAAATAACAGTGGAAATGTAGCAGGAACGGCGAAGCTGCTATCGCTTGTAAACAATGGTCGACATTGGTGTGTGTACACAGTACGAAGGGTTACTTTTGATATGTAAATGAGAGTATGCAAAAGCCACGAAGTATGCTACAGATATATGAAGGTAAAGTAAGGATATTTTCGAATGTGCCTAGTCTTCAGGAGGATGTTTACGTTGTGACGATAACGCCATCGCTTATGACGGTGTTTCTGACAATCCCTGAAGCGGAATGACTTCAATACCACAAAATAGCAAGAAAGAAGATATTTTCTAATTACCTTTAATAAAGCCCTCCTGGTCTTCGTTAGAGAGCTGTTCGAGACTAAAGCCATTGGTCTCAGAGAGCAGGAGCGTCGAGAAGACACCGGTCAACATGAATAGAGCGAAGATCTCGAGACTGGGAACAATATATTAGTTTAGATTCAGCAACATGAGCAGTGGGAGACATACATATGCTTGAGGAAGGCATCGGTTCCTCCGATATCCTTGAGCTGCGCGAAGCCGACCTGAGCAATGATGGCACCAAGCTTTCCGCTTGCGGCTGAGATACCGTGGGCAGTGGAACGGTAACGGGTGGGGAAAACCTCTCCGGGAATCACGAAAGTAGTGGTATTAGGGCCGAAGTTTTGGAAGAAATTGGCGAGGCAGTAGAGAACGACAAAGCCCTTCGCTGCAACGGGTGTGTGCGTGAGTTTGTCGTAGCCAAAGCCTGTAAGAAACTTAGATTAGATTGAGAGACGCCTAATAAACGTCAGCCACATACCCATGATGATGAAGAGGATGGTGAGGATGATGAAGCCCATGAGCTGAATTGGCTTACGTCCCCAGCGGTCGATGAACATGAAGGAGAAGTAATATCCGGGGATCAAGCCACCAGCCGAAAGGATCAAATTTCCGATGCAAATGTTATTCAAGTTGTCGAAAATGAGCTGGGAACCCTTGATACCCGACGTAGGTGTACCGAAACCGATGGCATTAAGCACGATGGACGAATTGAGACCCAAGCCATAATAGGCGATATCTGTATCCGAAATGATGAGAATGGACACTCAGGACTCAGGTCTGGACAACGTTAAACACACACCCAAAGCGAACCATGACCATGATGTACCAATGAGAACCTTCATGTTCTTCCATTGACCGAAGTACTTGCGGAAATCAGCCCAGCTGGCCTTGGGGGCGTTGGCGCGCAGGACGGGTGTATCGGGATCAACGGCAGAGTTGCCAATAGTGAGGACATTCTTGATATCTTCCGTGGCCTGGTGAACGTTGCGCTCAATATCCATGGTGAAGCGGGGAGTTTCGGGGATGGTGAGACGGAAGTAGAGAGCGAGAACACCGGGAACGCAGCCAAGACCGATGAGGATACGCCACATGGTGTCGACGACACCAGGGTCGTTGAGGAGAGCCTCCTTGTATACAGAGACAATAACAAACGCGACAAGGGCAGCGACTAATTATGTCCGTCAGAAAAAGTACATTCTCTTGATAGAAAAAGGACGCACAGAAGTTACCCCAGCCCTGCGCAGCAAAAACGACGACCATGGAGCGTCCACGAATGCGGGTGGGCGCGAACTCGGAAGAGATAACGGCAGAGAGAGGGTAGTCGCCCCCGATACCGATGCCCATCTGAGAGGGCTGTGAGTAAAGAACACGGATAATGCGTCGCTTGTTCACTCACCAGGAAACGCAGGACAACAAGAACACTGATGATTCCAACAGCATGACCGTCACCGGCCATAGCCTGCACAAATGTCGCAACGATGATAATAATGAGCTCGATACCGTCTGGAAGGGCGTTAGCAATCTGTAAGATCGACAAAAGGAGGGAAGTAAACGTACACATCCTTTTACGACCGACAACATCAGCCAAATAACCGAAGAGAAGCTGACCAAAGAGGGTGCCGACGGGAGCGGCGACCTTGATCCCAAGATCCTGGGTCTTGCTCAGCTGTTGACCCACCTTGTTCTGGGGGAAACTAGTGCCATAGACATAACCCAACATCACCGAGGCGATGTTGATGGCAAAGGTGTCATAGCTGAAGAGAAAACATCAGTACACAAGTTCATAATCAAGATGAATAGTACTCGCGCGTCGGTGAAGAATCCTGCACCAGCAACCAAGCAGACTTTGGCGTGGAACATGCTACGCCACGTGAGGAACGATTTGATCGAAGACTTAATGGAGCTGTAAATACCTGAATGGAGCATCATCGATTTCCTGGAGAGCAGCGCGACGGCAACTGTCGATTTTGTAGGCCAGATTGTCGAACTTCTCAGCAATAACTGATTCTCGGGACGAGTCCTGTTCGATGTTCGACATCATTGTAACAGCTGTCGAGGAGGAAAGGGGAAGAGGACCTCGGTGGAGAAAGGCAAGGAAAAGCGCTCACCTCTAATTCCAGCTGCTTCATATATCGAAGTGCCGGTATTTTCTGGTTTCGATGCGTCCGGAACGGTCCATGAGCTATAGCTGTGGACGGTGAATTCTCCCACATAACATAGATCACACCCAGCTCATTACAAGTATAGCGTGATTGATCCTACCTCTAACTTAGAAGGGCGGCTGATCTATCAAATACTTGTAAGTTAACGTGCCTTCAGACACCCAGCAACTAGCCTCAAACGGCTTACTGATACCTACCCAGTCTGGGGCCTACGGTGTCGATGCTGTTCCGCAGACTCTCGGGGTCGGGTTACACCCACCTTTTCTCAATTTATCTTCATCCCATCTATCAATGCCGTCAGGTAGGTTCTTCAGGCACTGTTCACTGACATCTACTGTCGGCAATCTGTCAGGATGAGGTATTGTACTGGTATTGTTCGATTGTTATTCTGAGATTCAGGAACGCTACCTCCGGAAGGAATAGGGCTGATGAGATGTGCCACCCGTTTACTTATCTTCATCTTACGTGCTTACGTGCGAGTATGGGCCAATGCGAGGCATGGCGTGTCCGAGATCTAGCTCTATTAGAACCCAAGAGTCTTGGCAGAACTGACAGAACAAACCTACTTACGGTCACTCTCTCACAATGATAACGGTAGTTGCACTGATCCAACACAAAAACAAGTTCAAATGTAATCATCACGTACAGAAAGGAATACATGATGTCAAAATTAAGGAGGGCGCCGCCAATGATAAGTTGTACCTTGTCTCTGTACTCTACAGTGGGGATAGTGTGTTACGCATGCGGCGCGCCAACCGCCGAACGTGTACGGTGTGCTTCATTATGGGGGGTAACTAAGGCAACAGAGGCTATTCGTAGCCTTAGTAGTCGGTCGTCCTTAGTGGGCAGCGGGTGACGGGGCGAGCTTGTGGGTGATTCATGGGGTTGCGGGCTGGTGGCGCCATTCGAAATCGATGGTCTCTCGATGGTGAACGGGAATCGTGAGGATTTATGAAAGCGTGAAGGCGGGAGCGGGAACGGACGGGGTGTTCATGGTTGTTTGAAGGGCAGCGGAACCTCGAAACACGTATGAGCCACCAGCCGCACAAAACAAGAAATTTTGTGGCCACCTGCATGGCAGGGGCGCTAAAAGCTCAGTGCTTCTCATGTGAAGACCGCCTTAGACTGGCTACCAATACACGAGGCGCGCTTCGGCCGGGCGTGATTGGACAATGTCGAGCATCCGCATACAGCTTCTAGGCGGTTCACGGGCACGTTGGGCTTACGAGCGCCTTCCGCGAGACGCACAGGGGCGTTGGGGTCGCAGTGAAAACGGGACGCGGCGTGTGACGAAGGGGCGTAGTTCGGGTCCAGACAAGCTCGACGGGCCTATAGATAGTCATACATAGGGCCAAAAGATATGATAAAGGTAAGCTGAGTAAAGTTGGCCTCCAAAGGGCTCAAAATTCAACATACCGTGCAGGTCTCCCAGGTCTCCCCATCCATTCCACTCCCTCGGCCCACTTGCTCAAATCCCAATTGTAGAGAGGAGGTGCAGAGCCCACATCCCAGGTCATAAGTGGGGTGAGTGTAACATGGACATCATGTAGACCATGCGCCCTGGCAATCCAGTTTCCTATAAATTTCAATTTGGACAACTAGAAGAATCAGATGCATAGAGACTTGCCTGAAGTGCACGGTTGTTGATGGAGTTCGATTGATCATTGAGTTGCAGAAAAGGTAACGACAACGAAATGCGGCAAATTCCGATATTACGTAACTCATGGTATGTACCAAGTTGAAGATTTACGAATCTCGTTGGATTCTATCTACACATCTGTTAGTTTCAGTTTGTTACTTTATACTGACAACAGACGTTAAAAGATAATACTGTCTGCCAAAAAAAATAACAATAGATAAAGTAAATAAGTGACTCGCCAATGAAGGAATTCTGAATTAGGGTTGATTCATACCAGGGCGGCAAGGCATGTTCCGTGTTTCCCACTCACCTCTGCGTCTTTCCCGGATTTTCGTTCGGTCCTTGTCCAAAAGGGGAACCATCGAATAGTAAGCAGCGCATCGGCCACCATTATCGATGCACACGTTATTTCTTGCCTGTCTTTTGCGCACATCTTTCATGGTCGACATGCTCTCGGGGGATCGTAGGCGAGCTTCTGGTGATAGAACTCTTCATCTTCTTTCGTAGTAACCCAATCCTGTAATCCTTCCCCCTACAATCATTATTAAGCCGTCCCAGCGAGTCAATCCCACGGCGATCCTTGCCCACCCCCCGAAACAAGTCCAAATCCTTCTCTCAGGCACCCATACCAAATCTTCGCAGCACACAGTACTTGGAGGAAGGAGGCAAAAAGTTCCATATTAACGCACTCATTGCTTCCAGACTAAAATGTCCGAACATGCGCGTAAATCCACAACAAGAAATCTGCGAGCACAAGGCATCACAGTCGATCAGACCATCCGCCGAACGGTTACTCTAAACGAACTAATGGCGAGGATAACGAATCCGTGAAGTGCGGTGATCTAGCCGCAGTGCTCGTTCGCACAGGGGATCACATCTGCGTGGCCGCTGCAGAGATCCTCAGCTTTCGGCAAGGAATTTCAAGACAGAATCTGGTGTCAGTGAATTCCACCGATCTTGAAGCTACTTCGGGCCCACGTATCGTTTCGGCTGCAGTTCAAATCCTAGATCTTGTACGAGCACCCCTTGATGACGATGGTAATTGCACCTGGGCCTGGTCAAACAAATATGTTTAAGTCCAGCATTGACGGCGCTCACATCTATCCGCTTAGACCAGAGATAGTTCGCGACCAGTTCACCGGGAAGCCTACATAGTTTTTCCAACATTCAGACATCGAAACAGCACTAAATGTTCTCTGGGAGTCCTTGAACCCATCTGCAGATGAAATAATTGACAACATTCAGTTCCTCTTGAAGATCGTTACCGCAGAGCGTGACTTACCTATCAGAAAGCACAGGAGCCCCAACTAATCATCCGCGAGCTTCTGGCAGAGGTGAATCTTGTCAAATTCAAAGCCAAAGACGAGGTGGCCTGTGAACTGTGTGATGTGACGATACTAGTCAGTGATAGCGAAATCATGTCAGAAAACACGTACTCCTGGATATGCGACTCGCGAGAATTTGGGCTAAAAGCACATATCAGCCATCTGGAAGAATCAAGAATGGAAGTTAGTGCTGAGAGCAGACAAGTTTACCGAGATAGAAACAATTTCCCCAATAGCGATGCATTCGAAACCCCAGATCTCGCTGGAAGCAGTGAAGAGGACGAGATCCACGAGATAGGGGCCAAAAGTCAAGCAGGAAGCGCCGCGGCGCGGGTTCAAATTTTTCTGTCATCAGTCTATCACACCTGTGCTAGCCGTCCCCCCACGAAACGACATAAGTAGGACAGAAAATTGTATATTGAGGATTGAGAGCAACACGATGGATTCTCGATAATCGTACTTATATATAGGTGACTGATGCGCTAGCATTGCGTACCTATTTGATGGTTCCCCTTTCGGACAAGGGCCCGAACGAAAATCCGGGAAAGACGCAGAGGTGAGTGGGAAACACGGAATATGCCGCTACATCCTGCCTGATTCATACTAGAATAGACACTTCGGTGTCAGGATGGTGATTCGTGAATTATCGCCCATAAATTGCCTGGCATGACCTGGACGAGAGGTTCAAGTGTTGGTGACGCCCTCCAGACGTATTCCGATGCAATATCTGTAGAGGCGATCAAGCCTACTAGGTATAGGCCTCAAAGGTGGGGTTGGTCCAAGAAAGGCAATCCTACCTGTGAAAGCTTTACAGGTGATAGCAAGGCTGATGAGAGCATCCAAGTCGCCCCCAACTGCAATCAAACTGCAGGCTTCGAGATCCTAGAGTCGGTCGGTTGGGATCGGGGGTTGGGCGTTGTCTCATTGAAGGCACACGGCCTCATTGAGAGGACAGGATCTGCCCTGATAATTCAGGGCGACATGGCCGAGCGGTCTAAGGCGCTAGAATCAGGTTATACCTCATCTAGTCTTTCGGGGCGGGAGTTCGAATCTCCCTGTCGTCATCTTCAAACGATGCTGGCTTTTTCTTACTTACCAGATATCACTACACATTCTGAATATCCATTCTTAATCCAACTCTCCAAAGTCGGTCCTTCTTATATTTGAGGTCACGGAAAGTTGTGGTTCTTGTCTGGGCTGACTGAGACGAGATGGCCAAATACCATATGCGCTGTATACCAATCTAGGTACTTATCAACGTGCCAACCCAAGCTCCTTTTGATGCTAAAGTGGATGTCAGCCTCGAGTTCGAGCGTCTTCTCGAACTGGAGGCATAACTCATAAAGCGCAATTGTTATTACTCTTCATCCCATATATCAACGTCAAGGGCCGCGACGCCAGCCACACATGACGAGCGCGTCCGCGAGCTTCACCTGACACCGTCATTAACGGCGGGAACATTGTTCAGGCCCCAACGCCCCTTTCTGCCGCCCCCAAAAGCTCGGTGTCGAAACAACACATCGGATACCGCTGTCTGCTGCTTCTTGTATCTGCGCAGCATCCCTACATCCCCGTCGCGCTTTACAACTCGTTCTCCTCCTGGGGTTACAACTCGCAACGAACAAGTGAAGATATCTGAGAACAACTTCCTTCGATTGAAGCTCGATTGGTGGTGGCTCCCCGACGTCTTTCATCATTGATACCTCGGCGCTGGATCAGGACGTGTAGGAGATAGGAGGGGAAAACGAAAGGGGAGGGGTTGTTTGGGATGATCAGGCTGCAGAGTCATGGAGGGTATCGTTCGCGAGTCCGCCATCGAGAAACTGTGTCCTCAAATACGGGGGATGAAGTCGAAGTCGAAGTCAGACAAGAGTGTAGAATCAATAGCACGTAGCATCCAGGCAACCGAGGGGCCTACGCAACCCGCCGTCCTCAAGGCAGGGGCGACGGGGCGATGTAGACTCGAAGAGTGGACATCAAGTCGACGAAAGATGGAAGGCCGAAGCAGATTGACATGCGAGGGCAACGAGGTGGTGCTTCCCATTGGCCAGAAGCCACCGACCCACCACTCGAAGTTCGGTATCGCCCGCTCTTTATATGAGAGCAGTGTTTCCCGTCGTGCTCTACATATCGTTCTCTTTCTCCCTCAACACCCCCGCAAATATCTGCTCGAAAAAACTCGTCCCAAATTTTCGCCATGCCCAAGCCTGACATGATGGACCTGTGTTTGTGATTTGACGCACGAGAACAGTGCCGCCTCCCACCATTCGTGCCTCGGCACTAGACCAGGAGGTTTAGGATGGACGAGAAGCAAAGGAGGAGGGGGGGTTCGCAATGTACACGGAGTGGCCAGATAAATGGAGGGGATAGTAGCTCCCCATATTGTTTGTGCGCGTGGCCTCTCCAATATTGGAAGGCCGTGGCCTCGATTGCGGAGCTAAGGCCTAAGTTAGACAACTCCTCGCCCGTATCAGACTTAGCGGCCACGGTGCCTGCTAGACACAACGAGATCATCAGCGAGATCTGGGGAAGGAATATGGGAGCACGACTTACCACCGCCATCAATGACAAGAGAACATTTCATCTGGGTTCCATCGCATTCTCCATCGCCCCTCTGCCTCCCTTGCACCCCAGCTTTTACACCTTTCGAAGCTCAATACCGCCCGCTCCTCGTCTCAAACCGGCATCCCCACATCCCCGCCGCGCTCTACGTTTCGTTTTCACACGAACAAAAACGCCCGCAGAAGAGGCAGGGCCCAGAAATTGCGCCATGGTCGAGCCAGAGGTGATGGACCCTTCCCTGCCTTCGTTTGAAGCCCAGCACCAAAGAAGAAAGAATTCGGGAAGGAGCGCCGATGTTCTTAGCAGCGCCTTCCACCATACACGCCTCGGCTCTGGAATAGCATGCATGGGATGGGAAGGAGGCAAGGGAGGCATTTGAGATGGAGGGGCTGTGGGTCTGGTGTGTGTGCGGGCGAGAGAGAGGGACCGCTATAGATGAGCTCGTGAGCGAGATCCGGAAGGGGATCAGGGAGCACGACTTACATCACCACGAGAACGCCGTCTGGGCACCAATGCTCCTCTGCCTCCCTGATCGAACGTCGAACCCTCAACACCCGCCCCTCAATGTTAGGTGTCATATCGGATCATCCCACACATCCCCATCGGCCTACATTCCATTCTCTTCCTCCTGGCGCAAGGACAAACGAAAACCCCTGAGAAAGAGAGAGAGAAAGAAGCGATGGCCAGGCCCCAGAATTTCCAGCGATAGGTTCCGAAAATTTCGCCTGCAAAGCCAGAGGCGATGTAACCTTTCTTCCTTTGGGGCTCGGCACGACGGGATTAGAGAGGAAGCAACGATATTACAAGCGGCACCTTCCACCATACGTGCTTCAGTGCTGGGCCAGCGTGCATGAGATGGGAAGGAGAAAGGGAGGTATTCGGGATGGGAGAGTTGTGGGTGCGGGGGCGGGCGAGAAAAGATATGCTATAATCCCCCGCCAAGACTTGGGGAGCCACGGGGACCGATATACACGACGAGCCCGTCAACGAGATCGGGGGCAGGTGTTTGGGAGCACGACTTGCTTCACCATGGAAATGACGTCTGGGCTCTACCTCCCGATCGAACCGCATCAACCCCTCGTCCAGCACCCCTCGATCCTCGGTGTCGTATCTGAACAGTATCCTGCATCCTCACCGTGCTCTACATCTTGTCTCCCATGCTCGACATGCCCACAACAAACAAGAAGGAAGCGGCGGCAATTCCGAGCTGCATGCTACCTTCATTTGAGACCGCTCTCGAAATCTCGCCATGCCCGAGCCTACGTGGAGGTCCAGCGCCAAAGAAAGGATTTGGGAAAAAGTAGCGATGCTCCTGACATAGCTCAACACTGGGCCAGGATATGCTTTGGGAGGCTGGGAGGTGCAAGATGGTTGGGCTGAAAGTGGGAGTGCGGGTGCAAAGGGGGACACATCGTTCACGAGCCCGTAATCGAAAGGCCGTGGCCTCGGATCGAAGAGCATTCCGCAACCACCTACTATCAGACCCGGGCTATACACGACAAGCTCGTCAGCGGTGCGGGGCAGGAATTTTGGTACGTGACCTACTCTATGAAGTGCCTCGAACCCCCGTTTCCTCCCGCTCCTTGTATCAAAGCAGCATCCCTGCGCTCTACACTGCATTCTCTTCCCCCCGACCCCAACTAGAAAGAACGAAAACGCCTAGTAACGAAGCAGCAAGCATGCATAAGGTGATGGAACCTTTCCTCCATTTTAATAAAATATCGATGGGTCCCGACGGCCTTGTGTACCTCGGCGCTGGCCCACGGCATCGATGCGGTGTGGGGTATACGACCCAATGACGTGGTGGATGGGGATGGGGAGGCGGGCCGCTAAGGAATCAAGGGGATGGGTGCCGTGCATCGTTCGTGACACCTCACCAGCGTCGGAAGGGTGAGGTCGAAGTCGGCGACTCTGGTTCCTTAGAACGAAGGAGACGTGGAACCATAGTGCCTGCTACACCCGACGAGCACGTCAGCGATGGGTTGGAATCCGGAGTGCGTTCATAGCTCACCTGAACTTTATTTAGATCGATGACGAAAACGCTAGACGTCCCGCTCTCTACCTCCGAAGTGTAGTTGGACCAGTTCGGAGCTCCGCCTCTTGATGATCGATGAAGCCAAGAACGGGGGATTGGGTTTGATAACCACGCGGTGGCGAATGACGCAATGCTCCATGCACGGGGACCCATCCCTCAACGTTCGGTGTCTCGGTGTCTGCATCTCCTCGCTGCCCGTCGCCCCACCAACATTCTACGCCTCCTCAGAACCCCACAACACCCTGCGGCGGTCAACCCTTCCCAAACAAACGAAACAGCTGGAAACGAAGTTCTTCGAGGAACGAAAGGGCGGCTTCCAATATTTCGTCATGGTGGGGATTTACTGTAGATGGGACCTCGATCTCGCCAATATCCGTTGTGTCGAAGTAGTCCTACACCTTCATCTGTAGCTTGGCGCTGGATCGCGGAGAAGTTGGCGTGGGACACACGAGGCGCAAAGCAGGGGAGGGGTCTCATCGAAAAATGTATGACGGATCCAGTTTTATAACTTAGGTATAGACTGTCGACGGTGGTAGAGGCATCGATAGTAGATGGCGGGAGGAATTTGATGCTAACTGACGGGGCAGTGAATCAGTCAGCAAAACGCGTCACTCCGAAGAGAGTGTCAGTGAAAAAGCCCATACCTTGTCGCCCCAAGGAATCTTCACCCGGGTCGTCCAGGATGCTTGTTCATGTGGAGAACAAGTTCTTTCACGTCTTTCGAGATGTGCCGGCGCATGTTTAAGAATGCAAAGCCAGAGCCACTGAAGCGTCATGTTAATGCAAGTTCAACGTGGCTAAAAATAGTGTATGTTTGCTCGAACGAATCAAAGTTGGGACAAACATGGAAAATTGGTTGCTGCCTATCGATAGGCTCGTAATAGCTTGGGCCCGCGCCGACTCCTTGCCTATCCACCAGCAGTTGATTGATGAATAACAGTGGCAATGTAGCAGGCACAGCGAAGCCGCTATCGCTTGTAAACAATAATGAGAGTCGTCATTGGTATATGTACACAGTACGAGGGGATACTTCCAGTGGTATGTAAATGAGAGCATGCAAAAAACCCACGAATTATGTCCTATGGATATGTGAACGTAGAGGTAAGGAAGTGCGCCTGGCCTTCAGGAGGATGTTCTCGTTGTGACGATAAGGCCATCTCTTACGACCGCGTCTCTGACAATCCCTGAAGCGGAATGACTTCAACACCACGAAGTGGCAAGAAAGGAGATATTTTCTAATTACCTTTAATGAAACCCTCCTGGTCTTCGTTAGAGAGCTGTTCGAGACTAAAGCCATTGGTCTCAGAGAGCAGGAGCGTCGAGAAGACACCGGTCAACATGAATAGAGCGAAGATCTCGAGACTGGGAACAATATATTAGTTTAGATTCAGCAACATGCGCAGTGGGAGACATACATATGCTTGAAGAAGGCATCGGGCCCTCCGATATCCTTGAGCTGCGCGAAGC